CCATCCGGCTCCACGCAAGGATCGGCATCAGTGAGCACAGCCGAGTCCTTTCAGGTGTACACATACTGGAGGAAAGAGRAGCTTTGTTTCTTGAACAGGCAAGAGGAAGAAGTCAGGACAGCACTCAAGGATTGGGTGGAGCAAGTGTCGGATGACGGGAGCAAGTACTTCTACTGGCAAAGTCCCAAGTCCGGACGGGTGTTTTGGGCAACTACACTGGCCAAAGGGTCGAGGAAAAAACAGGGCGACAAGTAGAAGGCACCACCCCGCGTACGCCACGACTGATCACACAAGCGGTACACTTGTGTATTAATCTGGCTAAGCCTTCTACGGAAAGTGGTGAAGGTGTCGCGTAGAGATCTGGTGGCGAGTTAGCAAGCCTATACATACAACTGATGGCTGCAGCAACATTCGCTTGATAATGAACTTTTTTCACGAGCAAAGGAGAATCACTATGATATGGTAATATACATGTGCAAGGGCTAATCGAACGCCTCGAGTTTTGAGAAAAAAGTTTTTTGCTTCTGTCGTGATGCTTTACAGTATTGCGTAGGTCTGCTACCTTCCAATGGATTTGGCCGTGTCACTCAGGCTTTCATCCTCCAAGATTCCTCACTCTTTCAGTTCCAACTGTCCGACTTCAATTTGTTGTAAACCTCTGTGAAAAGCAGTGACGGCTAGTTGTAGCCGGTCAATGACGTATTCAACTTCGTCGCAAAGATACTCGCCGAGTCGTCGGACATCTTGCAAGTACGCGACTTCGGCGCGAAGACGTCCGACTTCACGCGTTCTTTCCACGATAACTTCCTCTGGGGAGTGTTTGGTGGATACTTTGGTAGCTTCGAGCTTATCGCGAGTGGCATCTAATGAGACAGACTCGCCGTGTGCGTTTGCTATCTCTCTGTTGATGGGGCGTGGACTGGCAGGTCGATCCATGTTATGATTAGCGTTTCCACAGATAAGTAGGAGCCAAAGTTGATTGCATCTGCGAGCCTCCTGGAATATTCGCGGCGGCGCGAGCCCTACTTGAGACATCTCACTTTCAAACAAGTCGACATGTACGTGGGTATCGAAACCGGCACCCTACGTCATCAGAAACATATCAGTTCTGGGGATGAGAAACAAAGAACCAGGGGGTCGCTTTTCGTCCCGCTACCAGGGTACATGTTTCGGCTCTGCTAGGGTGTTCGTTTCCGATTTCTGCGAAAGTCAATACTCAGTCAGCCCCAAGATGGAGTTCGGGCATCAGCTCATTCCCATTTTATTGATCGTTAAGCCACGGTTTATATTCAGCACTGTAGCATACCGACATTCCTGCTCTCCTTTTACACTTACCGGAGAAGCTGTCCTTACAACCTTCAAGCTCAACCCTCGAGATCGCAGAACTCTTGCTCACCTAGTCAATCAACTTCAGTATGACGCTGCCTGGTTAATCTGAACAACTCTGCAAACTGACTCACCGTGTCTAGTAATGACAGATAAACACGCGGTCAGGGACCTGGTTCTTCAATTCTGCAAGAATTTTGATGTTCTGGTGGCATTGCCCGCAGTCATCGCTGCGATGATGGCAGCATTTGATGAGATACCAGACCAGCAGAAAACAGTCTTTAGCGATTTTACAATAAGATTTTTCGGCAGTACCATCATCTTAAGCGTCATTGCGTTGACTCTCAACAGAATGGTGCTCTCCAAGTTTCAGGGTCATGGACGTCTTACCAATGTCGAGCTGTGGATTCCGACAGGCTTGGTTGATTTTAGTATTGTTCAAGTGCTCATTGGACTGGTAGCCTGGTCTGTGGATAGATACCCAGCATGGGTCACTATATTGCTTGGGAGTGAAGCTATTATACTGTCCGCACTCACACATGCCCGACTCGGTCACGCCTATGCTGTTCAGGTAACCAATGATCCTCGCCATGCCTGTACGGAGTTGCGCGAAGGCGTCTGCTTCCCGTCTCTTTAGACTGTCCATGCATTGATGGGCTTGCTGTGATTGGCGATGTAACGGAGGAATACGCATTCTGCTTCAACTGTCCTTTCCGCGGTGTCGCTATCTTCTGCCATATCAAGCAAGTTATAGTATGTGGAAATTCTTTGTATAGTGTCAAAGAAGTCGTTGGCAATGTACAAGTCCTCGGGGGACCAATCCAGTTGAAGAAACGCCATGTTTTAAGATGACGTAAAACATTGAGATTTTATATCTCACCGGCATAAACAGGACTGCCATTACTAATGATTGGATTCGTCATCAAATGATTCTGCGCAGGTTTTAACGTGGACACAAGGACGTAGATACTTCCATGGGTGATCCTAATGACATAGCGTTTATGTAGCTGATCCACTTGCTTATCAGTCGTGCCGAATACCGAGATGTATTATTCCTAGACGTTGGATTCGGTAAGTGACATGGTACCCTCGCGTCAAGGTCTTCAGCGCGAAGACCGAGTTTCTGATAAACTTTTTTCGGTCCCGAAATTTTTGCTCGTAACCCCCGAAGCACTCCATTTCCTGGCTTTTGTAATCTGAGGTTTTTCATTTGTCCTAGAACAGAGATTCCTGTTATCTCACACTACAGTTGATATAACCTCGACAGACAACCTGATATTCCAGCTCGAGTATTGCTTGTTATCAGTCCCCATTGTCTCTTCGAAAGGAATGCCTACTCCACACATATTCACATATGGACTAGTTATGTGGTTGTTGAAGGGATTGTCTACACATTGATGTACATAACCCTGATTTTATATCTTGGAGATATTGTTTAAGGGTTTTTAATATGTAAAAACACACTCCAGCTATCCAGCCCAGTTTCAAATCGTGTTGAGCTAGAAGTATCTCATGCTACTCTTTCATTGTTAGACTGGACTCTTACCTTGGGAAGGTCTTCGAAAACACGCATCCCAAACATAGCCTTTCCACCAACCAAACTCTTTTCCAGCGATTCCTTAGCGTAAGCCCGCATATGATCTTCATAGGATCTCAGGGCCTTGGAATTGAGTCCGTGCTGCTCAATAGCATCCATAATCACGGCTGCGTCACGAATGGCTGTTGTAGCACCCAAAGCAGCTGTAGGACTCATTACATGGGCTGCATCGCCAAGAAGAGTGGCTCGTGTGATGGGCGCCTCAGCTCCCCAACTAGGGATGTCTGGGCTTGCTGAAAGAACTCGGAAAGCTGAAATTTCAGTTTCGCTGGTTTCGAAAACACACGCCAGTGACGGATGCCAGTCTTTTGTGAGGTGCTGAACAAGAGTCTTTATCTCCTCCAAGGGTTGTGATAGTATATCCGCAGGGACAGCCTCAGAATCGCAACGCAAGAACATAACCCAGTAGACGTAATCTTCTGGCAAAGCTGCAATCTCTTTGCTGAAGCGCATTGGCTCAAGCAGACACTTCGTGGTGTCGCCTTGTACAAGCGTCAGGCCTTCGGAGGCAGATTTTGAGAACTTTTTAGAGAAGGCATCCGTGACGGATGTTTTTCCAAATATCAGACGTGCTTCCGTTTCAAGGAGTTCGTAGGAAGGCAGCAACTTTTGACGGACTCGAGACCAAACGCCATCCGCCCCAATTAAGAGACAACCTTCAACATCAGGCCCATCTACAAAGTGCACAGAAATCTTGTCTTTACTTTCGGTAAAATAACGATACTCCCGACCAAACGTGACGCAGTCTTCGATGCCGTCTAAGAGATTTTGTCGCAACACGCCACGATCTGCACTTAGAGGTTTGAACTTGGGACGAGGTGGAATCGGAGTACTCGCCCCTGGCTTGAACAAATGGGATGTCGAATCTCCAGTCATGGCGTTCAGCACCGCATTGGGGACGCTAGAATGCGGGGTGATGGTGTTGCAGGACGCCTTCAAGGCGTGATACTTTTCTGGTAAGAGGAATCGCCTGAAAGCTTCGATGCCTTCGTCAGCGATGCGAATGCGATATCCTTGACGGCGGGCAGTCAGATTTGGATCTGCCTCATAAACATGAAACAGAATATGATTCTTGTGAAGACATTGTGCCATGGTGAGACCACCAACGCCAGCACCAATAATTATAACAGGAAGGGTTGTCATTCTGGCTAAGAAAGTATAGAGACGAGATTGGCTGGTTTTTCGGTCATTAAGCGGGAAGATTCGTTCTTTTAAGTTATCTAGAAACGATTACTGTGGCTTTTCGGTAATTTAAAAGCCCGTACTCGGCGTGAAAGTAGCTTAACGCCGAGCAATAATGAAGCCGCTAGTTATAGCCCAAGAGAGCCTGGAATCACGGATACGTTAGTGTTGAACCACTGCGTATGTGGGTGGGCAAACATATAGAAATAACTTAATAACTAGTGATTGGAGAGAGAAACGCGGGAATTTTGGGATTAGCTGATGAATATCATTCTGACCTCGGAATTTGGCTGTCCCCCGGTCCCTCGCGTAGGATAACCAAACTAAACCAAACAAAACCGAAGAGACTAGGCACCAAAAGACACGAATGAATTAGCAAGATGACGTGCAACTGGATTCATTTGGAGCCTACGTGGATTTGATCAATGCTTAGAGAGTCCCCTTTCTAAGCTAGTTAGGATTCATGGTAAACCGTGTGGATGGATTCCCCCGCTCCCGCCGATCTTACGAGCTGAGGCGAGCTGGGTACCCTCCACCAGCTGCAGAGAATAGAACTCTCGAGTGAGGAGTCGGCGAGCTTCTCCCGACTAGACACACTAGATAGGCGGTTTCAAATCAACAAACTAAGCAGATGATTGATAATCGCACCAACGTCGTCCAACCATCACTAGTCAGCAGCCACAACAACCCCACAACGATCCTGTTGAGGCCGTTAGACCGGAGAGACTTGCAACCACTTCACTGTCTGGTGGCTTACAAGCTTGACAAGATCGTATGAGAATAGAATGTGTATATAAGCGGGAAGCAAGAACCGTGTGTGAAAGAGAGTGGTCAAGACGCGGAAAGCAGATTCTAGGACGAATCCTGCACTCAGGCTTGTGAGCAAATCAGGCCAGCCCGAGTTGAACCCCGAGGTGATCTAACTTGTTTCTTTCTTAGCCCGCTAAGGCTGTCGGTGAATGAGTGGGCGTGTTGCATTTGTTCCATGAATCGCTGAATGAAGGACAGCTGTCAGACTAGTGGAGGATGGCCAAGATCTTGGTCAAGAAAAAAGATGAAGATGGATGCGAAAAAAAAAGCAAAGATGTAGAGACCAATCTCGCTGCTAGCGAGGTTGGGCAGAATCCTAGAATCAGTAGTGGTGGACTGTATCTCGTACGTCGCCGAAATGT